TAGTATGCATGTTTGTAATTAAAATTTGTAACGCTGGCATTCTGGTGTAATAAACATGAATTGCAGCACAGAAGGTAAAAATTCACCGATACGTGTACAGTGATTCGCGCAGTAATGACTTGAAATTATTGAATAGAATTTTAAAGAAACCTTTAGAAACAATTAAAACTCCATTTGAAAGACTGTAATTTATGGATTAAATTATGATTAATTATATTACCCATTTGTATAGAACAGTGCTTTTAAAAATGTAGAGTTAAATCATTGAAATCAATTGATTAGGCATGCTGTAGGTACTTAATTAAAACCTCTTCCAAACAGTTATTAAACTTGGGTCAATTTACCATTATATTGTGAAATATTATCTAAATATTTTTCTAGGTTTCCGGTTCAGTGTTTCATTTTCATTTTTTTAACGAAATTCCTATTTGAAATTAATTTCTAAAATATTGACTGGTAACAAATTTTTTTAGAGGTGTTGTAGCCGTAACAATGGACATGTTAAAGCTGGATATTAACCAATGTCCAGATGAGTATTACGTACCTAACGCGTTCAAAGACACGCATAAGTGCGATAAGCGAAATTCTTGGGTAAGTTTTAAAGTATTATAAATATTTTTTTGATAGCATTGAGTATTCTACCTATATATGTTGTTATTGGGGTTCTAGTGCGTACCGATTTTGGGTCGTGGTTTTGAAAGCGGAGGATATAAATGCGAGTGTAAACAAGGTTATGAATATCCTTTTGAAGATCTTATAACATACTATGATGGGCAACTACTGGAAGCCGAGTTCCTTAATTTAGTAGACAATAATGAGACCCGATTTAATATGTTCAAATGTCGGCTTGCTGGAACAAATGGCATTCACTGTAATTTATTTTTGGTAATATTTTCAGTATTACTTCTGATATTACGCGAATTTGAGTGACGACGTCTTAAAGTTTTTGTTTTTGAAGTCTTAATAGGCCAAAGTTTTCAAACTAACTATAATGAAAAGTTTTAATGACAAAAAATAATTAAGTTTATTTTAATAAGCGTGTAAAATAATGAATCTCAAGCAATATTTGTTCTACTTGTATAATTTTTATTTATACTGAACTGTACTATTTCATAAGTATGCATGCTTTATATGTTTGAACAGTATTGTTTCCGTCCATTGTATCTTTTTTTATTTATATAAGAATGATATTCAATTTTGTAGAAAGTTGTATGTTGGAGACTTGTCATTGTGAAATTATTACTAATAATCCGTCCTAAAGAATCAAATAATTGTTAAGAGTAATTTGTAGTTTTCGTTTTTTAGACAAGTGTACATTTTTGTGCCTTAATATGACTTTTATTTTTATTTTAAATTGTAAATTAAACAAGCAACAAGTTTTC